CGATGTTCGTATACAAATTCCTATGGCTTAGGCAATCTGAAATTTCCGATGGCCCTAAAAAGCATCGGAAAACTTATTTCCGTTGGCTTTTCCGATGGTTTAAACCATCGGAAATTTCTAATGGCTTTAAATACCATCGAAATTATTTAATTTTCGATGGTTTTAAAAGCCATCGGAAATTTCCAATGGTTTTATAAGCCATCGAAAATTTCCGACGGTAAAAAAACCGTCGGAAAATACAAAATTTTCGATGGTTTTCAAAGCCATCATTAATTTCCGATGGCTTTAATATGAAAACCGTCGGAAATTTAATTTAAAAAAAATTAAAAAATTCGCCCCCTTTCCCCCTATTTCATAACCCTAACTTAAGCGTGCTCAACCTGCCGTTTTTCTTTTCTCATTCCCTCCCTTCTTTTTCCCTCTCCTCTAAACCAGTAACCCTAACTTCATTCCCCCCTTCCTCAATAGTTGTTCTTCTCTTCCATCTCATCCTTATTCCTTTGTTTCTCTTCCCTCGATCTCACCCTCTTATCTTCATTTTCGCCCCTTGTTATCTCAGATCGTGATGAATTGAATAATCTCAAGAAGTCTGATCGTTTACCTAAGGGTTTTTTGGTCAAATTCGACCATGAGAACTCCAGATCTAGAGTTTTCATGGTCGAATTTGACCATATAAGCCCACAATTATACCTATGAAAGAGGTAAGGTTACTACTTCGTATTTTTCTTCAATTTGCTTTTTTTTTTATTGTTTTTGGACAAATTTGTGTGTTTTCTGGGTGTTTATTATTATATGGATGTTTTGGGGTGGTCAAATATAGGTTGATTTGATTTTTAGGGTTTTTTTCGAGTTCAATTATCTTTTATTTGATTTTTGGGTTGTTTTTGTATGGTTTTCATGTTTTTGTTGGGAGGGGGTTTTTTCAAGGGTGGGCTGGGTGTTTTTGTGGGTTAAGATGGGTGGGTGTTGGCTAGTGTGGGTGGTGGAGAAGGAGAGAAGGGGGCAACATGGATGTTTAACGGTGAATAATTTGGGTAGCGAGGGTGGGTGAGTGGGGTAGCCTAGTGGAGGGCGGGCTAGAGGGCGAGGCGGTTTTTTATTTATTTATTTCTGTAGGAATATCCGATGCCTGACCATCGAAAATTACCGATGGTTTTCCTCACCATCGTAAGTTTCCGATGGTTTGACCATCGGAAATTTCCGATGGATTATGGCCGTCGGAAGACAAAAGTATTTCCGATGGCCTGTAAAAACCATCAGAAAAATGTTTTCCAACGGTTTCCATCGAAAAAGTGCAATTTTCCGACGAGAACATTTTCGACAACCTATTTCCGACGGAAAACCATCGGAAAACAGTTTTCTGACGGCTTTTGATGCTATTTCAGATGGCAATTCCCATCGGAAATAAGCTGTTTTTTTTTTGTAGTGAAATTGGGATAATGCTTAAAATATTTCCTACAATTTTTTGGCGACTCCACTAGGGAGGATTTCTATTTTAATTCCTGAAATTTATTTTGGCAATGATTTAGAGTGAGCGGATGAAACTCGTAAAGTTCTAAGTATTTCATGTGCGTAATTTTGATTAACATTATTGTCATATTGATGAGTCTATTTAATATATATTTTTATTCCCCGTCCCACGGTCATATTTGTGTTTATTTGAGCTCTGCGGAGCTATTTTTATTACTAATATATGTTTTCTAGTGTTTTTGTAGAGTTGGTATTATTTTGTAGGAATTTGCAGATTAATGTCAATTCCCGAGCTTATTGAGCCACTATGAAAATATTAGAGATGATCGTACCTTATGACGAGTATTTGAAGCCCAAGGTCGAGCTAATTAATTTGGTTCGGTGATTAAGGGCTCGGTTTGTTTGGAGTACTAATTTTGTTGCAAGTCCAAGATAAATTAAGAAGAAGAAGAAAATTTCAGCCCAAATTTTCTGGCCCAAACGAAGAACCAAGTACTAATTGGTATACACTAGACCCTAGTGTAGGTAGGGGTACCTACACCCCCCTCTAAACTTATCATTTTACCCACATCCCATAACCCACAAACCTGCAGTAACTACCCACCAAATCATTTTAATTTCTCTCTCAAACCTTCTTCTTCATTTCTCTAGACTTTCTCTCTCATCAAAACAAAAAAATCTGAACCAAAATTGCTTCAAAATACTACGAAACTGCTTCAAAATACTTTGAAATTGCTTCAAATGTCTGATATTCGAGATGAAATTAAACAACCACAACAAAAAGAGTAAGTAATTTCGTTAGTTTTGTTCATTTTTTGAGATTGTAGTGCAATTTTATGTGTGAAACCTTAATTTTGTTCATTTTGTTGCGATTGTAGTGCGATTTTGCAAAAAACCACTACAGAGAAGAACATGAAAGAAGAAACTGCAAAATCGGAGCAAAATGTATCTAAAGAGTAAGTAATTTTGTTCATTTTTTTTCGATGACAATTATAGTGCGATTTTATGTGTGAAACCTAATTTTTGTTCAATTTTTTGCAATTGTAGTATGATTTTGGAGAAAAATACTTCAGAGACGAGTAATTTGTTGAAAATTTCTGAAGAAATGTATGAACTCTAACTTTTGTAAAACCTAATTTGTTCATATTCTTGCGATGAAAATTATAGAGCGAATTTATTTGTAAAACCTAATTTTTGTTAAAATTTTTTGCGATTGTAGTAATTGTTCTAAGATTTTACTGAAAATAACTACAACATTAACAATTTATTAAATAAAACAGAGACGATGATGATGATGTACCTCTTCAGTCAAGAGTAGACAAATTGAAAAAAAAACCGCCAAAATGATCCAATTGTAGATCCGGAACTTTTAAAAGATATTGACAAGTCAATTGGTACGGATTTAACAATGTCTCCACTACCAAGGTAATTAGTCATTTACAGAATATATTATGTTCATGTCTAATATGCTAGTTGTATTTGATAAAAATTGGTTTTATCTTTGTATAATATGTTATTTATATATGATCATATTTGATACTCATAATGTTCATTTATAGATATAGTTATGATCATATATTTATATTTGTTCATATGAGTATTTATTGAGATTTAAAAACAAAAGTACATTTCATTGAAACATCATTGTATATGATCATATTTGATACTCATAATGTTCATTTATAGATATAATTATGATCATATATGTATATTTGTTCATTTGAGTATTCATTGAGATTTAAATAACAAATATACATTTCATTAAATCATCATGCACATATATAAATATGATAATAATCATTTCAGTGATATGCATTCAAACTAATGTCATGTAATTAATTTATAATGTAGTGATGTGCCATTTAGAGTGATACACTTGCTTCAATTTAGAGATGGGAAATCTGAACCATTAACTCTAAAGAAGGTTATAGAACAAAATTAATATGGTAATAGTTATGAAAGATACACTTTAAACAAGTAAGTTTATATGTATAAAATAATTGTTTTTACATTCAATTATTGTACATTGTATATATATACCAAACTTATTAGGTAATTCTTAAAATTTTAGTGAAAAAAAAAAGGTTCGAGTGAAATTTGTTATGTCAAAATCAAGACCACCAGAGACAAATCAAACAATAAGGTATAAAAGCTTTATACAAAATAACTAATTATCTTCTTCATTGTATAAATTAGTTCATACTTTAATATCATATTATATAAAATAATTCTGTTTTTTTTAAGTGAACAAAGTGAGAACATTCCTGCTACTAATGCAACAACTAAGAGTGTGTCTGCTACACATAACACAACTGACAAAGAGAGTAGGGATGAAAGGTATACTAATGATCAATTTTATATAAACAAATGTTCATTTTTATAACAGTATATTTTATGTACAATTTATGTGCATTTTTTATTTAAAGTATTTCTTAATATTGATTTCAGCAAGCAAGAAGAAGTTCAACCAAAAGTGCAAAGCAATCCAGTAAAGAATAGTCTTGGCCAAAAGTAAGAAAACTTAAATGTTCAATTTAGATAGACTATATGTTCATTTGAAAATCAGTACAAAAAAGTTTGCTCATGGCCAATAGTAATATAAGTTATATGTTCATTTTTTTATTTACTAATCAAAATTGTAAATTCAAACATATTTTTAATGAAATATCAGAAAACCCAAAGATGATTCAAGAATAACAACATTAAAGGACAAGATGCAAGAAATACATTTAGACATAGAGAGAAACCCAAAGTATGTTTAAATTTAAATAATTGAATTAATTTAATCAATTAATGAATATATTTCAAAGTTAATATCATACATTTACAGAAAGTACAAAGAATCGACAATCAGAATTATGAGAAATCTCAAAAGAATGGAAAAGGCAAGCAAGGAAATCAGGAAAGGTAAATGATCATATTTATTGAATATTTTTGTTTAATAGTCATAAATATCAATTTTAACAATACTATTACTTTTGAAGGTGAAGCAAAAAAGAAAGAAAAAGGGCCAATAGAAGAGAAAACTGTGGAAAAAGGTAAAAATTTTAAAATGTACATTTTTATTACAAAAAATGTTCATATTGGAAAAGCATAATATTAAATATTCAATAACATTAAAAAAATTAAATTTTAACTAAATAAATTTTAATAGAAGGACAAGAAGGAAAAAAAGGGACTGAAAAAGAGAAAAGCCCTAAAGACAAAACTGTGGAAGATGTCTTTCCAAAGACAACAAATGTAGAAGGTAAAAATTTATAAATGTACATTTTTATTACATAAAATGTTCATATTGGATCTACATAATATTGAATGTTCAATAAGATTAAAAAAATATATAAATATTAACTAATTAAATTTTCATAGAAGGACAAGAGGGAAAAAAGAGCCTGAAAAGGAGAAAATCCCTAAAGAGAAAACAGTGGAAGATGAGTCTACAAAGACAACAGATCCGAATGGTAAATAGTGGAAAATGTACATATTCATTATCTGAAATGTTCATTTATATTGTATATAGTAAACATTTGTCATCCAATTTAATAAATGTTTATTTAATCTTTTATATTTGATCATTTCATATGCAGCACAAATTGCACCTGATTTTGTTCAAATTGAGGATGAAACTTATCTTCTAGATCAAGATGATGATAAAGTTTCCACAAAACTTAGTGAGGAGACAGCTCCATCATCACAAAAAAGTGATCAGTCAACCAAAATGAAAACAAGATACAAAATGGTTGCAAGGAAAAACAAAAACAAAAGCCTTGTTGTTGTGCCAAGTGGTAGAATTACAAGGAGCCAAGGTAATCATAATACTTTTCTGTTACACAATAAATATTACACTTTCAAATATACTAACATAAATTTTTTTAAAAACAATAGATGTTCTGTTAGATGAATCTGAAAAGGGAAGCCTGAAGAAGGATGTTGAACCTGCTAAAGAAACCGCAAAAATAGGACAGAAGAGAAGAATGTCTACAAGGAATTTTCCTATTCAAAAGGAAGCTGATGCACCACCTCCAGCACCTACTCCAATAAAAAAAATGGCAGGTGCTCCTGCTGAATATCCTCCAGACCAAGGCAAAAAGGGTAAATGTTCAATCTTAATGTATAGAATGATCATTTATGATGGTATATCATTAATGTTCAATTTCAATATATAGGTGGGAAAAAGAAAACTCTAGAAGAAGTGAAGAAAACTTCTAAGGTTGCTGGCAAAAGAAAAGCAGGTATATAATGATATATTATAAATGTTCAATTTCTATATATAGAATGATCATTTGAGAAAACAATTTTGTTCATTTTATCATTTGCTTACTGTACATTTTCAATACTTAAACAAAATTATATATTTAATTTTCAGATGTCAGTCCTGCCAAGAGAAATGCTGGAAAGAGAAAAAAAATACAAGAAGTACCATCAGATGAACCCTCTCAAGATCCTACTGATGAAAGTTCTACTGACAGTGATGATGATAGTGAAGAGTCAGTTTATAGAGCAGAAGAAGAGCCTGTCAGTGAGGATGATTATGAGGTGGAGGAAGAGGAGGAAGAGGAAGAAGTAAAGCCAAGGAAGAAACAGGCAAAGAAAGGGAATTCAGTGAAGGCAAAGGTTGAAAAGGAGGAGCAAAAGATGGTACTGTATGATGAAGGAAAGATTGAAGGTAGGAGAAAAAAGAAAATGAAAACTGAAATGGTTCAAGCAATAGAAACTGATGAAGTTGAGGAAATTCAGGAAGATGAATTTGAGGAAGAGAAATTTTCAAAGAGAGGAGGACATGTGAAGTTCATTGCATGGATAAAAAAGATGACACCTACCCAAAAACAACAAGTTATTGATATAGGGTTAGGATCACTTCTTGACATTAGTTTACCTCAACTTGATCAAAAGTTCTGTAACTGGTTATTGGGAAGTTTTGAAGAAAATAGCCAGTGTTTTGAACTACCAAAGAATGAAAAAATAGAAATTGAGGTAGAGGATGTTAGGGTAGTTTATGGCTTGCCTACAGGAGAAATTCCAATTGTTGAGCCAAAGTCTGATAAAATTAGTGAGGAGTATGCAGAATTTCTGAAGAAATGGAGAAAATCATGGTCAGGAAAAACTCCATCAGTGAGTCAGGTATGATCAGTTTTAAATGTTCATTTTAAATACATTAAATGATCAAAAGTATAAATGTTTTGTTCATTTTGTTTGCAGATTGTGAATGGATACATAAATGATAAATTCACCAACAACAGACCACCAAGTGAACATTTCATTACTAACTTTTTAGCAGTGGCTGTGAACTGCTTGATGAAATGTGTATCAAACAATCAATGCCATTTCAAATTTCTTTATTCTATGATGGACAAAGAAAACATAAAAAATTTGAACTGGTGTCAGTTTGTATATGACTCACTTATCAAATGTCATGTTGATTGGAGAAAGCAGCAAGGCAAGGGGTTCTACAAAGGCCCTCTTCAATTTCTGATGGTATATTCTTAGATACAAGATGTTCATTTAAATTTAAATAAATGCACTTTTTTTTATTGTTTATGTTCTGTTCCATGTTTTCTTTTTTCTTGTAGTTGTTCTATTTTGATAGAGTTCAGAGGTTAGACAAAAGGCCTCCAAGAACAATTCCTATCATATCTGCATGGAATAGAGACATGGTTCTTGAGAGGTTGAAGATTGAATTAGAATTGGGATTTGGGAGAGGGAAAATTCTACCAAGGATTGCTGCAGAAGTTGAAGAAAGTCCTAAGGTTATAAAATGATCACTTTTGTTAACATAAATGTTCATTTGTATAATCTGAAATGTTCAACTGCATAATTTTTAATATTCATTCATATAGGTTTTTATGGATGATTTTGTTTCCCTGGTAAAAACAACTTGTTCAAACCTGTCAAAGCTTTCTTCAAAATTGGTGAAGGCAAAGGATATCTTCCCTGGAAATGACTTGGTGAAAAAAGTTGATGAAGTTTTAGGAAAGGTGGTAGCTAGGGAACCATCAATTCTAAGCCAAGATGAAGAATTCTTTGGCAGTGAGGATTTCCTAAATGCACTTGCACAAGCTGAGAAGAATCTGATGCAAGGGTCTGAAAAGCAAACAACTGAGAAGCAAATGACTGGGAAGAAATTAACCAAAAAGGGAAAGGAAAAAGAACAAGAATATGACATCAGAAAAGCTTTCAGCTTGGGGTTGACTCCACCTTCTCCAGCCATTGGTAAATTCTAACTAAAAGAGACTATATATCCTAATTTTTATATGAAAAATTCTAAATTTGTGGTCTAAATTGTCCTAAACAGAAACAGGGCCCACCTTTTCAACACTTGGTGATATAATTGAACAACCAATAATTTCAACAAATGGTAATATGTTCATATATTTAATAATAATGTACATAAACTTAAGTAGAAATGTTCATTTCTAATTATTATGTGTAAATACTATTAACTTAGTGTATCTCCAAAATGATGATTTATAATACAGCTGGAGAAAAGGATGTGGGTAAAACTTCAGCAGCTTCAGAACAAAGAATTGAAGAATTTTCTAGAACTGGTATAATGTTCAATTAAAAAGTGTAAAATGTTCATTTACAAACAAGAAATATTCATTATTAATTGTATTTTTTTGTTAGACGCAGCAACTGGTTCAAAATTTGATGCTGACACCAGGTCAGATAATGAAGGATTGCCTAGAACAGGTATAATGTTCAATTATAAATACTCAAATGTTCATTTACAAAGAAATTATATTATATCTAATTAAATTTTTTCTTAGATGCAGGATCTGGTTCAGTGGTTGATGCTGACCCTAGGTCAGATGGTGGTGAAAAAAGTGATGATCCAAAAAACACAGTTGGAGGTGGAAAACAAAACAAGGAAGATGTTTTTGAAAAAAACAAAAAATGATGAAAAAGTGGAGGGGTAAAATCCTGAAGACATGTCTTACTATTAGGGTTATGTAATGGTGTAGGATAAAATATCTAGATGGAACAATTTAACTTATGTTACTATCGTGTTGTAACTTGAAACTGGTGTTTCTCAAACTATTGTATGTGTGAACATTATTTTGTTGAATATGTAATATGAATGTGTGGTTTATGTTAAATCAATAGGTTTATGTTAAATCAATATCTTTCATTTTATGAATTGAAAATGATTCAGGGTGTTACATAAGAAGCTTTTATTTTATTAATATGTACTGACATTGTTTGACTTTTCAGTGAAAACAAGAAGATTGTTGCTTCATCCTCAAAAGTCACAAAAAGGTACATTATTTATATTAAGTAAATGTTCAAAAATAATAATGAACATTTTCATATACCTAAATGTACATTTGTGTTATGTAATATGACCAGGAATGATGATAAGAAAAAGTCAATTGCAGAAAAGAAGAAAAAAACTGAAAAGGAAAAGGTTGAAAGGTATAATTTCAAATTTATTTATATACACTCAAATGTTCATTTATGTTCCTCATAATTTTCTTAATTTAACAATATTTTATATTGAACAACAAGACCAAAACGCGAAAAGAAAACAATTCCTCCTGCTTTCCGATCTCCTTACTTGGTCAAGTACAAGGATCTGTTTAAAGATGAGAAAGCCATGAACCAAATTGCAGTAGACTTTGCTCTTGGTGGAAAAGATGAAAGGTAATTACTTACACTAATTAAACTTAAGGTTTAATATCTTTTATAAAAATATGTTCACATTCATATTATTAAGTGTTCATAATGCAGTGCACTCTTATACTATGATGGCTTGAATCTCATCAATAGAAATGAAATGAAAACTCTTGGAGATGATGTTGAAGTGACAAATTGTGTCATAGATGGATGGGCAAGGTTTCTTAATCATAAAAAGCCGAGAAACAAGATTTATTTCTCAACAGTGCTTCATGTTAGTCTTTCTTCTTTTTTTATATTATTGATTCTATTTTCCTATGATAAATAATTGCTAAAAATTCATTTAACTTCTATATGTTTGTTTGTATTTCAACAGCACATTATGTGCACAAATAGAGTTTGTCAAGAAGGATCATCAATGAAGACAAGAATTAATGCCTTCATAGAAAGAATTGACAATGAACTGAAGTTGAATAAAATTGACAGCATTGTTGGATATAAACAGGTATTAATTCTTGTTTAATACAAATGTTCAATTACCTTCAATATATTGTCCAATAACATTATATAATTTGTTCAGGTCTTCTTCCCAGTATCAACTTCTCAACATTTTTTTCTGTTGTGCGTCAATCATATAGAAGACAAAATTCATATAATTGACAATAGAAAACTACCAAAAAAGGTATCAGTCCAAGCAAAATATGAAGAACAACCAAAAATGATGGTGAGATAATATGTTCATTTATAGTTGACTACATGATCAATTATATTTTATTAATTGTTCATGTCTTCATCACAATACAAACTTCTAAACAATTTTTCTCTTTTTTCTATCAGTTAAAAGGATTGGCAGAGTACATGAAACACCTTGGATATCAAGATGCAAAAAGAATTGAAGACTACACAGTTGTTTTGGAAAAGATGAAATGGCGTAGCAACAATGACTATACAAACTGTGGAGTTTACATTATGAAGCATATGGAAACCTTCACTGCTGATCCTAATGAGAGCTGGATTTGTGATTTAAAACCAAACAATGTAAGAGTTATAAATGATCAATTATTTAAGATATAATATTCATTTATGAAACAGTAAAGATTGTTTAATTAAAATTTGACAATTCATTTTGTTCAACAGGTGGAACAAATTAGAAATCTAAGGCTCCAATACACAGCAGAACTGATGTTATTTGAAGAAAACACTGAATCAAGAGCAAATAGAAGGAAAGCTAGAAAATTTGCAACTTTGTAGTTTCAAATGTTCATTTACAACTATGTATATGTTCATTTCTTATATATGACTATTTTTTTTTAGAAGTAGACTTATGGATTTTATTTTAATATTATTGTAATTGATATTTCATTTTAATCTTTGAATGAAAGTTTTTTATATTTTATTTTAATATTATTGTAATTGATATTTCATTTTAATCTTTGAATGAAAGTTTTTTATAAGTTTTATAAATTGGATGTTGGTTCTTACTTTTGTTCATATACAAATGACTAAATAATCATTGATAAATATAGAATTTTAAAACATATAAAATTCTAATGACTAAATAATCATTGATAAATGTATAATTTTAAAAACATATAAAATTCTAATATAAAGTTCAAATATACTAAAAATAGTACTATATAAAATATAATATTTATGTCTTTTACATAATAGATCGAAAATTCAAAATTACAAAATAGTAATTAAATCAACATTACAAAAAAGTCTAATGTTTATAAAGTTCTGGAATACTAATTATTTATCTTTATTAGCCAAACGTTTAGCTACACTTGTATCAAAAAAGGCTAACAACCTATCATATTTAGAAGAAATCTTTTTAGAACCTAATTGAACATTTCTTGATTGAAGAATTGGAACACGAGCACCTTGATCATTTCTTTGAACTGTGGGAGGAGTAACTTGAACATTCTGAACAGGAAATCCTTGATCATTTATTTGAACCGTAGGAGAAATAACTTGAACATTTGTTGATTGAACATTCCTGGAGTTGGATATGATCATTTCTGGATTGGTGTTTGAACAATTCTGAGTTTGATTTTGAACATTCCTGGGAACAGTAGGTTGAATAACAACAGGAGATTTTGTTGACGCACTAGTATGAATTGGAACTCTTGGATTAATTTGAGAGTAATTTTTAACACCAGAAGCACCTTTATTTGCACCAAAATTAGAACAAGGTTGAACAGCAGAAACACCTTCAAGATTTAAATCCTTCGCCTTTAAAAAAAATTAAATTGATCATTAATAAACCAGTATATGATCAGTTACAAACACTTATACAAACAAATATGGAAAAAAAAACCTTAGCAATAGATGAAATATCAACATCAATAGATATGATAGATGAAAGAGAGCTTTCACCAGTAGCCTACAAAAAAACCAAAAAAAAATATAAAAAATAAAAAATTAAATAAAAAAAAAATTATAATATAGATCATAAATGCCAAAAAATAAAATAAATTTATAATCAATAACAAACAAACATACCTGATCAAAATCATTGGAAATACTATGATTTGATTCCTTAGAACTAGAAGGAATTTCTTCTACAACAGCTGATTTTAAGCCGACCTATATTTTTAAATTATAAAAATCAATATTAATAAAATATAAATAAAATGTTTTTTTTGGCACATTTGAATTTACCTGAGCCCGTTTATTGCTCAAAACAATTAATTCAATGGGATCACTAATAGAATTAGCATAAGTAACAGCACAACCGTTCTCATCAAGTTCCTATTTAAAAAAAAAAAACATAAATGATCATTTACGAAAACTGAAATGATCAATTTGAAAATATGAAATGATCATATACCTGTACAACTGCTTGCCCTATACCCCTTTTGTAAGGAGTGTACAGAGACTTTTTCCTCTTGAAATTACCCTTTGCCTTGTTACACTGCTTCTCCAAGGTACTCTTAGGCCTTACATTCCTCTCACCTTTAGGCCTAGCTTTTGGAGGATTCTTGATCTCAAGATCAACAATTTCAACCTCTTTAACAGGTTCACTAAAGTCAATTACACCTGATACACTCTCAACCTTTTCTTTTAACAGATTGAAATAACACTCAACCTCTGCCCTTGCATTCAAAGAATTCTGACAACTTGTTATCAACTTAACAAACTTTCTGATTGTTTGTGACCTCCAAACACTAGTAGCCACAACATTTGTCCTCAAAGTAGGTTCTTCAATACCATGACTACACATGGAAGCCTTTGTCCATCGTTTCATTATATACTCTTGTGGAATATTACGCACACAATGCAAATGATATACTCGAAGAGAATGAGAACAAAGTAAACCAGTCTCACTAAAGTATATGCATGTGCAACAAATTGCATGTGTTTCCTTATTAAAAACAACTTCATGCTTAATTATATCCTTCCCAGGCCTCCAAAGAAGATATGAATATTCTGGAAAACACAAACCATTATCAACATGATCATAAGCTGTCCCCCTAATGAACTCCTCTTCAAAAAGAACATAAGCTTGAATAGTGTACAATGATCTTGCATGAACTAATATACCAATATTAGCAAAAGCTAGGTGCCTATTACCCCTCAGAGTATTGTAATCTCTTTCACCTTCCTTACTTCTCCACTCAGAAATGACATCAAGAAAAACATGATAAAAATCACATAAACCTTGAGTCTTATTAAGACGTTGTGAAACTGACTTATTAGTAGTTTCACTACGTTGAGAAGACAATATACCACCAGACCAATACTTCTTAGAATAAGCAGGACACCACATTTCCTTTATTTTATACAAATCACATAACCAATCATCATTTTCACATTTGTATTTATCACACATCCTGTATAACAGAAATGATCATATATTAATTTAAAAATGAACAAAATATAAATTAAAATATGTACATTTGTATAAAGAATAATGATCATAAACAATATGGACACTAATAATATTATGATAACATACATAACAAAGTAAATTGTATGATCATATGTAAAACACTAAATGTTCATATATATATCACATAATAATCAAATATATCACATAATAAAAATAAAAAATAAATACAAAAAACAATAATTTACCTTTTCCAGAAATATTCAAATTCAGCAGGAGTTTCACAATACTTCAAAAGATATCCAAACAAATCTGTAAAGCCTTCCAAAGCTCTCAATGCTCCAATGTGTTTCTTAGAATTTTGTTCAAGATGCCATACACATAAACGATGATGAACAGTTGAAGGAAAAATGTTTCTTATACCCGCTGCAATCGCTTGTGCTTGATCAGTCATAATTGTAATGGGACTTTTCCTCCCCATTGAGTGCAAAAATGTATCAAACAACCAATCAAAAGACTCGGTGCGCTCATTAAGAATAAAACCCATACCAAACATGACATTGTTACCATGATGGTTCATCCCAACAAATGGAGCACATATCATTCCATATTTATTAGTTCTATAAGTTGTATCAAAAACCAACAAATCTCCAAAGTAATGATAATCTCTCATCATCCTACCATCACGCCAAAAAAAACTAACTAAAGCACCACTATCATCTTGTTCAAAATCATAATAAAAATCTGTCTCATCCACATGTCTCTTGGCAAAATATTTAATCAATTGGTTACCATCACATCCTTCAATTTGGGCAGCTTTTTCAGATGACAATGCATTATAAGCATCAGAAGCAGTAAAACAAAGATTAGGAGATCCCCCAACCTCCTTCTTTAGAACCCTCAAAGAATCAGTAACTTTGACTCCACTCAATTTCATTGTTGAAATGAAAAGAAGCTGCTCTTTATTCACATCTCTTTGAGACCTTATCAAATGCCTTTTTTCAGGAGGAATCATAGCATGATTATGAACCATTTCATGTCTTGTACATGTATAGACCCCTAAATGATCAATATGAAACTGCACAAAAGCTAAACAACCAGTTCGATGATCCAACTTCTCATAAATCCTTTTATTCTTACACTTATTATCTTTGAATCCCTCATTACAACAAACAAATCTTTTCATCAAAAAAGAATCATCTCTTCTTCTCTTACTCTTCCCAATTCGAATTCCAAAACCTTTCCTAAAAGCATATTCATTATACGCTTCGAAAGCTTCATCTTCAGATTTAAATTCTTTATCCTTTAATTCAGACTGTTCTGCTTCTAAATACATAATATCATCATTTTTTTCCACTGCACAATATACAATTATAAATGATCATAAAGAGTTTCATGAATGAACAATAACAAATAAGTAAAATGTTCAATATCAAAACAGCACATGATCAATTGCAAAAAGAATTTCAGCACATAATATTTTGAACAATATTTTCATTATTTACCACTACACATAATATCGATATAAAAATGTAAAAATAAATGATCAAAAATGACTTTAAGACTGAACATAAACACATTAGTAACAATGAATAAGAAAACATAAACGATTAATTGAAAGTATAATCTACAAAATATACGACAAAAACACACAATTCTAAAACACAGAGAAAACAACAAATGAAACAACAAATGAAGCAACAAAATGTTCATACAAAGTACAACAATCCAAAAACGTTCATCATAATGTAATCAAAGTAGTAAATTCAAAAATCGAAAGTGAATAATAATACATCAATTAAGTTCAAATTAACAGAGCATTATAACAGAACAAATTAGGGATAATTAAAAATTGAAAAATTATGATCACAATTACTCACATTGTTGCACAAAAGAATCAACGAAACGAAGTCCAGAAGGAAACACACGCTCGCAATCGCGATCAAAATCAACGCAATCTCCAGATGCAGAATTCGCCATTGATGATCGGTAACAATTAACGAATTCGTTCAAAAAATCAAATGAAGAAGATGAATTAGCGAGAGAAAAATGTAGATAAAAAATGGAGGTTGATCAATTGAAGAGAGAGAAAAAATAGGGTTTAAAATCATATATATACATAAATTGAATAATAAGAATCAAAGGAAAAAGGAAAAAAGAGGAAGAAAAGAAAAAAAGAAAAAAAGGAAAAAAAAAAAAAGGAAAGAATCGCAAAAGGAAAGAAGCTGCACATGAGAACTCAATACCAGCTACAAAACGACGTAGCATAGGGGGGGTGTAGGGAACACACCCTACACTAGGGTGTAGGGTAAAATTTTCAACCAAGTACTGCTGGGCGTGATTTCTAGTGGGCCCGATCGGGCATGCTTGTTGCCGCAAATTGATTTGCCAGCTTCGTCAGTGGGCTTCATGGTTAAAGGCCCAATTATTTTGGCAACCTTCAGATGTAATTTTCCGTGAAAATTATACCCTACATCCTAGTGTAGGATGGTCTACCTACACCCCCTGATGCTACGCCGTTTTGTAGCTTGCGGGGAGTACTCACAAGCTAATTCATGCTTCAATTCTTTCCTTTTTTTATTTATTTTTTTAATTCCTTGTTTCTTATTATTCAAGCTATGTATATAAATGGTTTTAAATCCAATATTTTCTCTCTCCTCAATTGATCAATTTCCATTTTTCTACCTACATTCTCTCTAGTTAATTCATCTTCTTCATTTGATTTTATACTAATTTTGCCGTTTATTTTTCCTACGATTTTGATAATTGTTGTTGATCATCAATGGCTGATTCTTCATCTGCTAATTTCGATCGTGATTACGAAAGTGGGTTTCCGTCTTCTAGAGTTCGATTGATTGATTCGTTTGTTCATCAACAATGTGAGTAATTACAATCATAATTTTGTAATTTTTATCATCAATACATTGTTGTGTTATAATGCTCTGTTTATTTCAACTTAATTTATGTATTATTATTCTTTTCGTTGCTTCAATTTTCAAAATTTGATTATGATTATGATGAACGTTTTTGGATTGTTCATACTTTGTTATGAATATTTCGCTGCTTCAATTTATTTCATTGCTCTATGTTTGAAAATTGCGTGATTTTGTTTGTATGCTTTTATTTATTTATTTATTTTTTGGATCATTTTTATATTTAAAATTAATCAATTATGTGTTATCATTTGTACTTCTTAATTTTTTTATGTCATATATGATTATTTGTTTTTACCATTTTTTCTTGATAATATTATGTGTCAAAATTTTCCACATTGATCATGTGCAATTTTGCTATTGAACATTGTATTTGTTAATTATTGTTCATTTTTGAAACATGTTATGTTCATTTATAATTGTATATTAAAACTTTGTGCAATGAGAAAAAAAACTGATATTTCATATCTTGCTAAGGTTTTGATCTTATCTGTTTATTTAAGTGTTTGAAATTGAACATTTATATATTTTAATATGATCATTTAACTTTTATTTGAAGGCGAAGGATTTAGTGTTTAAAGGATTTAATATGATCATTTTTTGAAACTTGTTATGTTCATTTATAATTGTATATTAAAACTTTGTGTAGTGGGAAAAAAGCTGATATTTCATATCTTGCTAAAGTTTTGTTTTTCTTATCTTTTTATTTAAGTGTTTGTAATTGAACATTTATATATTTTAATATGATCATTTAATTTGTTTTGCAGTCGAAGGATTTAAATATTCCTATAAATAAAAGTGTTGCTGGTGTTTCTGCTGCTCAAGCTCAATGTAATGTTCCTATAAATAAAGGTGGTGCTGGTGTTAAAAATGATGCTCAAGTTAATCCAAGAGTACTAATGCGTCTACAAAATCTCAAACTAGATATTTTGTTCCACCCGTAGTTCTTGGCATTGTTCCAACTTCAACTCAGGATTGTTCAAACTTCAATCCAGAAATGTTTAAACCCCATTCCAGAAATGTTCAATCGACAAATGTTTAAGTTATTCCTCCCACGGTTCCAATAAATGATCAAGGTGCTCTTGTTCAAAGTTCTTCAAGTGTTAAAGACATAAGAATTTGTTTCTATATAATACCTTTTTTAGTATATTGTTTTTTTAAAAAATTCAACATATGTAAATGATTATTTATCAATTTGAAAATGAACAAAAGTAAAGAACCAACAACCAATTCATAAAACCTAAAAATTATATATTTTTTTTCATACAAATAAAGATTAAAATGAAATATCAATTCCAATAATTTTTTTAACAAATAAAATCTATAAGTCTATTTTCCTCCAAAAAAAATCATCTATAAAACTATATACTTCCTTCGTTTTCTTTTACTTGCAACACACCTTTTAGGCACGCAATTTTAGGAGATGATTAGTGAGGGTAAACGAGCTATTTTATCAATATAATTTTTACACGAAGATTAGAATAGGGTTAAGTATCATTTGTAAAAATTATAATGAATAATTTATCCGTTTACATTACATAAACCCGACCTCAAAACACGTGCCACAAGGCTGTGTTGCAAGTAAAAAGAAACGGAGGAAGTATAAGATATGATCATATACACATTCATTAATGAACATATACACTTTCATAAATGAACATATAACATGTACTATTCATTTGCAAACTTCCTTGCTTATCTTCTATTTAACCTATATTTAGTGTTTTTCTTCAAATAGCATCAGTTCCGCATCCTTGCTTCCTAATTTGGTTCACCTGTTGAACAAAATGAATTAACAAATGTTAATTATTATATACACTACTTTATAAATGAACAATATATCTTACATTATTGTACATTTATCACTTTTACACTATTTGGTTTCAAATCACAAATCTAACTCTCATTAAGTTTAGTAGTGAATGTTTCTATATGCTTCATAATGTATACTCCGCAGTTTGTATAATCAGCGTTGTTAAGCCATTTTATCTTCTCCAAAACAACTACGTATTCTTCAATTCTATGTGCAAATTTATATCAAATATGTAACTTTGGACATCACTACAATATAGCTAGATTAGTTGTAAGATATTAGTTTTAATGCATACAAATGAACATTATCAATAGTATACATGAGGATAATGTATAAAAGAAATGAACATTCGTTATTTAGGCATATAAATATATATGTAAACTGAAATGAACTAATATTAACATATATTTTAAAATGAACATTACTTTATATGTAAATGAACATTATGAATTTCATAAATGATCAAAAGATTTGATAGAATAAATAAGTCAGTTTCTCAACTCAAATGAATGATTATTTATGCATTTCATAAATGTGCATAACATATCATAAAAATGAACATTATTTATTTAGGCATATAAAGTCAAATATAAACTCAAATAAATTCAAATATACAAATGAACATTTATAATTCTATATATGTTCGTATATTAACTCGGAATCGTAGAAATGTTAACATCTATACCATAAGACTTTTTAATATCTTTTAAAAGTTCTAGATCTACAACTTGAGACTTTTGTTCGTTGTTTTTTTTTTAAAATTTTTCTACTCTTGTTTAAATAGGTTTTTGAAATAATACTTACGTTTCTTCAGACTATGCCTTGTTATGTTCAACGAACAGGATTCTTCTCTGAATCCTCATTCTCTTTATCTCTCTAATTCGAAATATATTTTTCGGTTCTGTAAAAAAAAAACACAAAACATAGTAGATTTTAATGATTTTTGCATAAAATAGTTCTAATCAAGTTAGATTATGTTTCTGAACATGTAATTTCAAAATGAAATACGTAGTAGAAAAAATAGGTTCATACAAAATTTTTTAGTAAAATTACTTACTCTTTCTGTGAATGTTGTTGCGATTGTTGAATTTCTTCGCAAATGTAGACATTTGAAGGAATTTAGCAATATTTTGAAGCAATTTCGTAGTATTTTGAAGCAATTTCGTAGTATTTTGAAGCAATTTTGGTTCATATTTTCTGGTTTTGATGAGAGAGAAAGTCTAGAGAAATGAAGAAGAAGGTTTTAGAGAGAATGGTGGGTAGTTACAGTAGGTTAGTGGGTTATGGGATGTGGGTAACATGATAAACGCATCATTTAGAGGGGGGTGTAGGTATCCCTACCTACACTAGGGTCTAGTGTATACCAATTACTCAATATTCATCGGAATTGGGCTTATAATATATCGTTGGAAAGGTCTTTGCAAGCCCCATCCAACTACACCACTATTGGACCCATATCATGGACCAATCAAACTGGATTGGCTGTTTTCTTAAAATAAAGTTTTCCAAAACAGGGAGAAGAGAAAAGAAATAAAACTTTCCACAACACTAGACCTTTCCACACTTTCGTTTCATTCGATTATGATTCGACGTGAAAGGTACTCATCACCGGGTTTGGTTTTGGGGAGACACAAATGGGTGTCTACACTAGTCCATGGTTTAGGATAAATCTATTCCAACTTTAGCTCCATTATGCGACAACATATGTATAAAGACAACAAAAAAAATGAAAGGATAGAGTTGTTGGAGGTAAGTATGTTTCAATAGGTAAGATATATAAATTGAAACTGAATAAAAAATAAAGCAGAGACAACCAAATAAGACTATTTAGTAAATTTGATGTATTAGATGTATGTTTTTGATACAATATTTGACTAATGGTATGTTTTATTCATTTAATAACGGAAAATTTGATAATTACCACCAACTGTTGTTGCCAAAATTGAAAATACCACCTCAAGCTTTTTTAAAAAAAAATTTACCACCTAGTTTTTTCCAAAAGTTTTCAAATTCCCACCTTGTGTGCGACATGACGTCATCATGGGCCCACACTTTCGTTTTCCCTCTCTCTTCCCTCAATTTCCCTCTTTCTTCCTACGATTTCCTTCCAACGATTTCCTTCCAATTTCATCTTTAAATTTGATTTCAAATACAAAAATTTCGCAAATTAGGTTATAATTACTACAATCTAGCTAACCTACAACGAACTCAATTAAGTAGTTTAATTAGGGTTTGGGTAATCAATTTGGGGGTTTTTGCTCAATACAAAAAATTAGGGTTTATTAATTGATTAATTGGACAATTTAAGATGTAATTGGGGGAAAAACATAATTTAAACATGTAATTGGGGCGAAAACACTAACATTGTAGTGGTGATTAATTTTTTCATAAACCCTAATTTTACATGTAATTGGGGCGAAAACACTAACATTTTATGAATTACATGTTTAATTGCCCATTTAAATTATGTTTTTACCCCAATTACATGTTTAATTATCCAGTTATTCATCCAATTAATGAATTCATAAACCCTAATTTTTCGAATTTAGCAAAACCCCCAAATTGATTACCCAAACCCTAATTAAACTACTCAATTCAGTTTGTTGTAGGTTATATTGTAGAAATTATAACCTAATTAGCGAAATTTTTGTATTTGAAATCAAATTTGAGAGATGAAATTGAAAGAAGGGAGTAGAAGAATAGGGGAAATCGAAGGAAGAAAGAGGGAAAACGAAAGTGTGGATCCCATGATGACGTTATGCGGCAAAAAGGTGGGAATTTGAAAACTTATGGAAAAACTAGGTGGTAGAATAATTTTTTTTTTTTTTTAAAAAAAAAAAAAAAAAAAAAAAAAAACTTGAGGTGGTGTTTTCAATTTTGGCAACAATAGTGGGTGGTAATTATCAAATTTTCCTTTAATAAATTTTAACATATTCGAATATAATACTACTACTTATAAATTTTTGCTTAACTTATTTGAACTTGTCTTATTTTAATAGAAGTTATTTTATTTTTAAATTTAAATTGAATAGCCCTAGATTTTCCTAAACTAGCTAAGTATCCCGTCATTACTTATTAGGAAATTTTCATAATTACCACCTACTATGGTCCACGTTTTAGTAATTACCACCAACAATTTATTTATATTTTACCACCAACAATTCTTCAAAACCTACCTTTCATTTACCACCGGTTTGCCCAATCGCCTCAACTATGATATCATGGTGGGCCACACTAATTACCACCCTCTTCAATTTCCCTCACTTCCCCTCTCTTCTCTCGATTTTCACTCCACTATTCTTCTCTTCTCTTAAAACCTCGGTAAATTTGGGCAAAAATTCCAATCAATCACTAGGTGTTACTCAAAAGACAGGTATGTGTAATTAGGGTTTTTGAAATCAATATAGTGGTTTTTAAATTGAATTTTGGGTTTGATTGTGGTTAGAGTTTGTTGTAAAATTGATTCATATTTCGTAGATTACTGCTATTGATGAACAAAATTAAGGATGCAATTTTTTGTCTTGCAAGGTGCCATTTTCTATTTGTAAGAACTTTAAGAATTGGTATTCAATTTCGTTGCTCACTTCATGGACTAGGGAAAACTAAGGACGTTTTATAGGTGTAGGCGTCGTTCGAAGCGCGCCTACGTTAAGCATGTGGTGAATATGCTTGGCACTCATAGGAAGTGGGAATTGACATATAAGATTAGGGACACGATTAGGGACAAGGGAAGTAAGGAGCCGCCAACAAGTTTTTAAGGAACTTGTAAACCATTCACGAATCATTATAAGGCAACCACGAAAAGGGACAACGATAGACAACAACGATTGACCCGTGAAGGTTACACCCCATTCATAATCCATGAGATTACTAACTCCATATGGTTCGGAACCACGAAAGGAGGATCGGGGATGATGGTACGAAGTGAGTCATGGAGTCACATTCGCTCGTATTGGCCTCTACTCGATTCTTATAATGAAAAGCATTCCTGTGATCTCAAAGGCATACAAACAAAGATTCAATTTGCTCCAAACTATTATTATACTAAATTGGTTGAATATTAATGCAACATATAATTCTAATATATTGTGATCACTTGATTAAAAAACAAGATTAAAAAGGAACCTAAACCGGTTGTCCAAATTATCTTATTAGTCATGATATTCAATTACATATTCTCTTTAACATGCAATATGGTGATCATAAATAATAATAATAGAATTAACATTAATATTGGAAGCAATTCAACAATAATAGCGTTAGTCAAATCAAATAATAATAACCCTAATCATGGTACTAGCAACAAGAATAATAATAAGAGTAATGAAGTGATTAATGACTCAGTTTCCGCGTTTCCTTGAATTGCTATATCATGAATAAACTGTGAGTAACTTCAATAAAAATAAATCAAATGGAAATTAAATTATATAAATTTAGAAATTATTTGGTCCAAACCCTCAGTTAATTATACCTTTCACGCCTTGGTTTAAGTATAGAACTTCGGGTATTATATGGACTCCTTGGAGTGCTTAAGGGATGAATAATGTAGAGAGGAATATAAGTTTAAGGTTTAGAGTATGAGAGAGAGAAGAGAATGATTTTTGGTGTAGAAGAAAGAAAGAGAGAATAATTTGGTGATCAAGATTGTTGATGATTGAAAAAGAGGAGATATGACCTCTATTTATAGGGAAAAAAGAGGGTCGAAGAATCAAGAAAAGATGGAGTTCGAATCGGAATAAAACTCTTGCGATAGACAGCAATTTTTGCGGTCTTTGTTTTTATCATATCTTTTGATCTAGAAATCGGAATAATATAAATAATGTGTCGTTGGAAAGCTGTTGAAGTATAATTTCTAACCCAATTAGAATCAAATTAAAATATTTTGTAGAACAAAAGATATGGCCGAAATAGTGGGACAGTATCAGTTTTGGATAGAGTTTCGTATTTCATTCATATCTTATTCGTTATAGCTCGGAATTAATATTATAATATATCATTGGAAAGATAATTTCAAGAGCTATCCAACCACCTAAGAATTAGATAAAAACAGTGAGGCACGAAAATAATTTCTGACTATCTTTGAATGTCTTTCAATTCGAATTGAATTACTAGAGGAGTTTTATTCTATTTCAAACTCTTTAATCTTATCTTTTCAAAAAGGATAATTAAGATCTTTTAGAAGCTTATAGAAGCTTCCAATTAATCCTAATTGTTTTAGGAATAAGATTAAATCCTTTGGACCCTCCACATGATCATTGGGTCGTAGGTAAGGTGGGCTTAGGTTCGGTTTAGACCCAGTTTAGTATTTTGGCCATAACTTATTCGTTATAACTCGGATTTCGGCTTATAATATACCGTTGGAACGATCTTTTCAAGACCCATCCAACTATTAAACCATTGGACCCAGATTATGGACCAAAATAAACTGGTCTAAACATTTTATAAAAAGGTTACGAAATGAATGATTTTAATGGACACGAAATGAATTATTTTGGATTTAAAGCCACGAAAAGAGGAAAATAAGTTACGGTATGGGGTAATGGGCTAGGAATTAGTTTGGTTTAAGAAATTTATGGAGATTGAACATGGATTTAAGCACTCCAAAGATTACATACTCAACCCGACCAATAATGACGGTGAAAGGTTGTTCATCATCGGGTTTGGTTTTGGGGAGACATTTTTAAGTGTCTACAATAGGCGCAACTTTTAGGCATGCAAATCTTGAGAAAACAATGATGAAAACTAAATTTTGAGAAAGAAAGTTGAGATAGAGAATTAGTGAAGAATCTATTAGCTTGTTGGAATTAATTTGGTGGACGAGCTTAGAAATTAGGATTAAAGAAGAGAGAGAGTGTGAGAGAGTTAAAAAGAGAAGAATAGAGGGGTGAGAATCGAGAAAAGGTACAAAAATTAAAGATGGGGGTAATTAGTGGAGCCTATCATAATGTCACAATCGAGGCGTTAGACAAATAGGTGGTAAAATTTAATGTTTTGAACATTTGTTGGTGGTAAAATTAAATTAAAAAAAATGTTGTGGTAATTACTAAAATGTGAACTATATTATGTGTAAGTATCAAATTTCCTTTTTTTTATTACTATTAAGAGATCACGAAATTTAGTTCAAAATTAAAAGACTACACTCAAGCATCACTAGGGAGGACACTTGTCTTTTACATAATTTGTATGAATACAAAAATTTGAGAAAATAAGAGTCTTGAGTTTTTGGGTGGACGTTGGTGCTTATGTGTCGGTATAATCTGGGTGATTTTTCGGGTGGGTTGGTCCGAGTGAGTTTGATCTTCCAGTGGTTTTAGGGTGGTGTTTTGGTTGTTATTGAAGATGGTCATTAGATAGCTCTGGTGGTGGATCAGAGCGGTGCTAGTAAGGTGGGTGGTAGGGTAAAGTTG